CCCCACAACAGAACCAGCCTTTTTTATTATGCTGTTGAGCCTTTTCAGGTCCCTGCTTCTGATGCTACTACCCCAACAGACGATAGCTGAAGAGATTACACTCTCAGCAACAGACTTGTAGAAGATCTGCAGCATCTTGCTACAGACATTGAAGGACCTAAGCATCCTCAAGAAGTGCAGTCTGCTGTGTCCCTTCTTGTAAACGGCTTCACATAACCTCTCCACTGCCCTCCGGCAAGCATCCATGGTGATGAACTGGGGAAGGGAAATGTTTCCTTTGAAGGACCTTGTGGTACACCACCTTGCTGCCTCAAAGGTGTCCTCAAGCAGAGAATTCTCCTAATCAAAAATAAAGACAATATTAAAATGACTGCTGTCATGAGATAAAAAAAAACATGTTTTACATAAATTATGTATGATCTGTAATTAATTTTCCCTGCTTCAGCACAGCTGATTTCAATTGATGGCTGATGAACAAGCTTTTGCTTCACTGAAATCATCTCAATATGGTCTGCTATCTCACAGAAACTCCAAAAACATGCAGGGCAGTGTGCCTTGAGGACCAGGGTTGAAAAACACTCCTCTAATTATTGTTATTGTAGCAGTACGAAATACCTGCTCCAAGTTTATTGGTTTAGAACAGTACGCCCTCCATACGTAGGAGGGCGCTCCGGCTATAAAAGGGGAGCTCCTCCGGTAAGGAAGTAATTTCAGGAAACGGATGATTTTAAGTATACCACTACGTGTTACCAACCCGTGTCCTTTGGCTGCGTTTTTGGGGTGATCGGCTCTGCTCCAACTGTGCTTGGGCAATTAATCAGTGTTGGGTGTGACATCATCGCTTGCCTTTGCTATACAAAACATTAGCAAACGAGAAAGATTGAATCCCCGTTGCTGCTGGGCAGGGAGTTCCCTTCTACTCAGGGGTCATCGGTGAGAGGATCGATTTCTCCGTGGTCCAGCGGGAGGCGCCGCTGTTTTGTTTCGTTTCCTTTTTCTACATTTCAAATCAGCTGTTTGAAGGAAGTTCCCTGGCTCGTGGCCGGAGTCCAGAAGGAAGAACAGCTTATTTATATTGTACACATTTTATACCGTTTTTAATCTTTTTTTTCTTTGTGCAGGCTGAGGCAGGAGGTGTGGTGTGTGGCCTCGGAGGTGGTGGTCCCGTGTGCGTGTGGTGGTGCTGGTTTTCTCACGTTGGTATGAATGTTCACTGCCAGGGGTGAATCCTTTATACGTTCTTCATTATTTTTCTTGTGTTGGGGCTTCTCTGCCCCGCGTTACCTGCCTCCATCACTAGCCTCAGTCCTGCTTGTTAACCTTTTTATTTATTTAAATTTGTAGTTGAATTGTGTTTAGTTAACTCTCATTTTTTGGGACCTCATGAATTAATTTCAGTGAGTTAAATTAATTTGTTTCTCCATACATTTCATTGGTTCAGTTTCTGTTGGGGCATTAATTTTAGTATTCTTTTATGGTATTTTACATGGCCAGTTTTTAAAATGTCTTTTAAACTGTCTCTTCTATAAAATAAAACAAATTTATTGTAACTTCTGAAACCACGTCTACTGTCAAGTGAAATGAATCTATATGCTTTAATTCCTTGGGTGAAATTCCCAAGGTGGCGTTGTTAATAAAATTACACTCGAGCAGGTACAATTGCCATCCTTGGCGTCAACAGGTCATAGACCACTCCCGTATTGCCACATTATGAATGGCACCTTTTTAAGTCTGCTTAAGTCACATCATTTGCTAATTAGTTGCTAGTTAGGAAAATTGGCTTTACACCGTTCTTTCCTTATTCTATATTTAGCATGTAGCAACGATTAAAAAACAAAACTAACATATTTTCCCTATGTAATGTATAGTATTTCTCCCTCAACAGTAGACTGTGCCAGATATTAGCATTGTTCTAAAACTTGATAAAGGAGCTTTAAGTCAAGGTTTATATAATCACACATATCAGATTAGCACTCTAACCATAATAATAAAGCCCATCAGGTGTAGAACCCAGATACAAACATAAAAAGCTTAAAAAACTAACATATTTCCCCCTGTAAAATATATTTTCCACCAAAAAGTAATCATGACCACACAACATATCTCCCCAAAGCTATAAAAGTGTTCCTACAGGTTTCTTCAACTTAAATTGAAGTCTGTTTAAGATCTTTCTAAACCCATATAGAAAATTAATACCTATTTCACTAGCCTAGTGAACTAGACCAAATTCTTGCTTTGCAAAAAATGGTCTAGGCATGCTCCACTGGAACCTCAGCAGCTCCTACCAGGACTCTGGCTAGCCAATCACAGCTCCCTAGAGGGGTTTCAAACACAAAAAGAGCTGTGATTGGTCCATAATGGTGGGCCAATCATAGTGCTCTATCTGCTTAGTGAACGAATCACAGAGCTTTATCCGCTTTGTGGGCCAATCAGGGCACTCTATATGCCTGGTGGGTGGGATGATGCAACAGAGTGAAACAAGAGTATGTCACATTCATTGTCCAGTGGAATGCGGAGATCATTTGAAAGACAACGGTAGAACCCGCCCCACAACCGAGAGCCGTCAATGGAGCGTGGCCAGACTAAATAATACATTTATTTAGTCTGGCTTGCCAGGCTACTATTTCACAGCACTATCAGCAAAATAAATAAATAAATAAATCAAATTAAATTATTGAACTAGTTTTCATTTATTTATCTATATATCTTTACCAATATATTTTGAAAAAACACTGGGTGGGCACTTGGTAGAAGATCGGTTATATTTTTAAACAAATGGTTAAAAATATAACCAGATCTATCTGGTTTGACATTAGAACCTTAACAATATTTTTTGTTGCCTATATTTTAGTTTAATTTAAAGGTATTTTTTTATTGTTAATTTTATTACCCTAATTTATTTCTTGCAGTATTTCTATTGTATAAAAGCAACAGTGCAAACAGTAAAGACACACAATTGAAATAAATGTCTAAAAATAGCCTTTATTAATTCTAATGCTTCTCTTCGTGTCATCACTTGTTTGGAATATTTTCATGAACTTCAGAAGAAAAATGCAGTACAGAAAACTTACATCCAACACAAATTTTAAGATTCAGATGCCAAAATTGAAGGGTTTCTCCAGTCTTTTAAAGGTATTACTTTCAAATTCATAAATCCAATGCTTTTAAGACTCCGCAGGAACCCTGTAAACATTTCTCCTCAAAAGTAAGTCGCCCCGCATATGTAAAATAGGCTATATGGGGGAGGAAACCTGGCAAGATCATCAACACTCGTTTATCTTAATGCTACTGAAACATGTAAACCAAAAAGCATTATATCCACTGCTACCTTTCTAATTTTAAACTCAGTAACTTGTGCTGTAACTTCACCTTGCCCTGCCTGCTCCTCCTTGCTGCCTGCCGGCTGTGATCACAAGCGACAACATAGTAGTTCCCGCTGCTTCTTCGGGAAACAGCGCAAAAAAAAATAACTTGGGATCTTGTAGGCGTGGTGGTGGGATTTTAGCCGTGGCAGCCCGCCACGGCTACGCCTATGTAAGGGAAACCCTGAGTGTTGTATGTAGAGAGCATTTTTTTTCATGTTCCCCCCAAAAATTACTCTCTGAAGTTTTACCGTTTATTGTCCCCCCAAAAATTGAAATGGGATTTCCGCCCTTGCTTGGAAGTAAAAGTCAGAGGCAAAGTAAAATGTTAAAACCAGAGTCAACATCTGCACAACCTACTCTCGTTTGAGGGAGCTGAAGTAGACTATGAATTCACAGACTGATGGTGACCTGGCCTTGTTGCTGCTGGATTTTTAAGATTTTCTCCAACAGTGAGGATCTTTTTACTTTGTGGTTTATTTACCAGTTGGATTGGGTTAGAATTAGCTCATTGTTAGCGGCTCATTATGGAAGGTACTAAAACTGTCAAGAATAAAACGGCTGAAATTGCTTTATGTGAAAGAGATTTCATGCAAAGAACTTCCTAACCATGTGTGGTATCGACCATAGAACTATTGTAATTGAAGAAAAAAGTAATACGTCTCTTTTCAGACCTGATTTTCATTCATTTTGCTTTTGAAATTGATATCTTTGATATTGAGTATGTGACTGACGGGCTAATATGTATCTTTATTTCAATTCCATATATTAGTATTGCAGTAATGTTCTTTTTGTATCTGAGTGGCTTGGTATGCAACAAAAACACATAGGTACTGTTTTGTTGTCTTTTATTTATGAAGCTGCAGACATTTCCAGTATAGAAAGCACTTTGCAAACCAACGCAAAACTTTAAAGTGCTTATGAAGAAAAATAAATAACAAGATGTGCATTCATGTGACATACTGTGGTTAAGTAGTGAAGCTCAACTCTCCCAGGTAACCACAGACTGATTTCAGGAGAGCTAATGTACACAAACCATGTCGGATTCTGTAAATAGGGCCATTATACATCCTGTACTTAAATTCAGTTGTGAGAATATGAGGTAACTGACAAACTTAGCGTTGTGCTTCACTGTTAATATGCTGGTGAGTTTGTGGTTGTGCTATGATTGTAGTCTGTTGGTGCAAAGCAGAGGTTTGTAATGGGAAAATTATCTGTGCTGTTACTGATCTACTGTATGCTTTTGTATGTACCATTCTGGTGAACTTGGTGTTTTCACTAATGTCTCACATATGCGTCTAACTCTGTCTTTTTCTTTCTGTTTGTAAATGTGTTGTTGCTTTGGTGTTCCAGTTCGTTATGCGTCTAGACTGTAATAACTACACAGCATTTTCTTTACCTCATTCACAAAACTTTGTTCATCATGTAATATTTCAGGAGCTTTCTAGGAATGTGTTGCCAGAAAAGTGTATGACCCAAAAATAAACTCTTCCTAAAGTCCTTTTAGTGCATTCAGCCCATTAAACTGAGCTGATCCTGCAGACTGCTGTGGAAGAGCAGACCTCCTCTTCCTCCCTCAGTCCCCTCCTCCTCCTTCTCATATAGGCACTGCTCTGACTTGAGTCAATCAGAGGGATCTTTAACTGTGCCTGCAGCAGGGTTTCTGCACACCCTCACAGCACTCATTACTCAAACACGTGTGCCTCCGACAGTAAACATATGGAGTACTACGGCTTCCTCCTGCTCTGGATTTGCTGCCAGAATTTAGGTGAGTAACAGCTACTTTTATGGGTTTTCTTGTTTAAAAATAAGCTTGTGAGATTGGAGAAGTCAGTGGAAGAACAGAGTTTATGAGCAGAAATAAACACTTAATGAATCAGTTTTCTGTTGTTTAGTTAAACATAAGGACTCAGGCATATTCCTCTGAATACATTTTAATAAGGTTACTTCAAACAACTTTTTTGATATTTTTTTATATTTAGTTTCCAACATAAAACATTCGGTGACTAACTTTTTTCCTGTAGTCGCATCATGACCCAATTCTTGACTTAAAGCCACACTGTGAGAGATATTGTTCTCCAAGGATCTACAGAAGTTCCTGTTATCAAAAACATGTATGGTGCATCAAAAGAACGCTGAAGCAGTCAGAGTTCCAGGCACTGATGGGCTCTTGATACTCTGCCAGAATTGTTGTTAGTAAATCAATTAAAGCAGTCAAATTTATCCAAGATGAAAGAAAGAAATTAACAGCAAGTCTATAAAATTCTCTCAAAGGAATGCTTATATATTTATTTCAAAGGTAAACCTCTAACAAGCCTCATAAACAGATAAACGGCTGCCACAAGGATAAGTAAAGTTAATTAAATCTACTTTAACTGTTATTACAGTGCAGCAGCTTGAGCTCTGTGTAGTCTGGATTTAGGCTCAGTATACTTTTGACCTGTAACCACTTAAGTCAAAAACCCTGTGCTGGAAAATATTTAGTAAAATACCGTGCCTGTTGTCGCTGAAGCTGTATGCTATGTTGCATCAGTTATATTTTAAAAGTCAAACTTCTTCTTCTTATTATTATTATTTTCTTTTTTATTTATTTTTTTGCTTTTGTGCTATTTACAGAAAAAGTAGTGTTGACCCGTTTGAGGTTTGTAAAGCTGGAATCATCCTAAAGACAATTCCAATGCATCTTCAATTTAGAATGAATGGCAGGAAATCTTATTATAAACATTTGATTTGATTTTGGCATCTAAAACAAAGTTCTAGCCTGGTGCCAAAACTAGGGAGACTTTTCAGCTGGATGCTGGTTGTGATGGAAGGTGTTTGAGCAGGCTTCAGTGCAGTCTGACTTCTGCAGATTTCCTGGACTTTAGAACCAAAGATCCTATCCAGATAACACTTAGCTGAGCCAGACACAGAGGACATATGCTGTGTATTAGATGGGAGCAGCAGGGTCACTGACTCATGAAGCTCATGTCCTCATAAGCTCTATCCCAGCAGGACATGTCAACTTCAATGTTTTTCTTATGTGGACTTTGAATCTCATTCTTTTAATGAACATTCAGTATGAGCCCCTCTTGAAGGACTGTCATGCTGTCATGGAAACTTTTGACCATGAGGTTCCATACATTAGAAAAATGTGAAACCTGTTCTGCAAATGTCAAAAATAATTACATATTGTCAAGCAGAACATTCACTTTCCAAAATATTAAATTATTGTCCAAGCTCAACTGAAGATGGACCTTCACCGAGAAACCATTTTTTAATTTATTCTTTTTGAAAATGTCATTCTGAGTGTATAAAAATAGTCTCCTACACCGATCTCCTACATCAGCTTCTGATAGAAAATAGACAGTGAAACAGATCTGCATCACACTGTCACTTAACATTAATGGACTCACCCATCTTGACTCATGACGTGGAAGGCTGTTGTTGGTTTAGCGTCCAGGAAACAGCAGAGAACGTCTTGACTAATAGGAGCTAACTGTTAGCATTAGCAACTCCACCACACAGCAGAACTCCTCCAGGCCTGTGTTATTTTTGGAGATAAAACATCCATGTTGCAGAACAAACAGAGTCAGTTGTAGTGTCACATTATTGATGTCCAAACATCATGAAATAATACTCCAAATCATGCAGGCTGAAGCTACTTTCATCTCCAGCTGACTTCTCCTTGCTAATATGCATGTGAAACGCCCCCACCCCCAGATAATGGCATTCATTCCTATTAGACTGCAAATATGATTAAAGGGCATTTTCAACTCGACAGTGTAGCCAAAGTTGGTTGGTATTACTTTGTGTTCCTCTGTTGCCTTGTGGTGGACTTGCAATGTGTTCGGGAATTATTATTATTATTTTCATGATTCATTTAATAATAATAATAATAATAATAATAATAATAATAATACTTATTATTATTATTATTATTATTATTGAAGGATGAAGGATGACACTTTACTGACGAAGTTTTGGATTTAATGATGATGACCCTCAATTTCACCGGAACAGCTGGACATGTGTACAAAAAACCCATGTAAATAAATCCACACGCTTACAATTAATACAACTGTTAAAGTTTACAACAGTTTACAACATACACCATAAATTACAATTTTTTTAGCTTTATAAGATAAATAAATACATTTGAATCTACCTATTTTATCACAAAAATATTTAAAACATAAGTATATTAAGATATTAAATTTATATTGAGCCTCTATCAAGGGGGCTGCTAATAACAAAATCCATATTAGATCTCCGTCAAAGCTGCTTTGGCCGTTTTTATCACTGTTAAGCTAGCTTGCATTAACTGTTAGAACAGGAAATAGACCCTTCAAAATAAAAGCATTTCATTTAAACAAGAACTTGATTAAAACAGACTATAAGTTAAGGCAAGTTGTGCCAAATTAAAATACAAGCAAATGTTGTCCTTTATTGGTATATTGAAGCTATGGTAAAGAAGGGAGATGAGCCAAAGAGCTAAGCTTTCATTTCAGGTCCACTTTAGCTCTAACTTTCAGTCATTCAGTTTGGGTAATGACTAAAAACAATCAGTTCCTGGACACAAGCAGCTGAAACGTGTTTTCTTCTGAGGGTGTCTGTTCTCATCGTTAGAGATAAGGTGGGAACTTGGAGAAGAGCTGCATCTCCTCCATGCTGTAGCCAGCTGAGAAAGTTCAGACATCTAATTAAGAGGCTTCCTGTTTGCCTCCTCGTTGGAGGTCTTTTGGACACATCCTAGGAGACCCCAGGGCAGACCTGAACCTCACTGGAGGGATTATATACGCCCCTTCTGATCTGATCTGAGCCCCAGATAGTGGAGCGTGTCACTGGGGACAGGGACATCTTAGTGGACCAGGTTCCTCCTGATCCCAAGTAAGCCGACAGAGATGATGTGTAATATTTATTACATCTTACAAAGAAGCTCTGAAACAGATGTAAATGAATCAGATGTGTTGGTTTACAAGCTGCATTTCAGCTGTCAGCTCTCTCCCAAGTTTACTGTCCAGTGAAAAATATTTGGCAAATTTTCACAGAAAGTCACGATTAATCATGACTGTAGTCCATTTCATGATGGAAGATGCACATTAAGACATCTCCTTGTTATGTTTTGAGTATTTTTATTTGTATTTAGACCTTTAATGGCATGGCACCTCCGAACTTGAATGAACTTTTGCAGCCTCACAAACCAGCAAGACCACAGAGGTTCACAAATCAATTCCTCATGGACATTCTTCGTCCCTGGCTCAAACACAGAGACCGAGCCTTCGTGGTGAAACAGATTACCTTATCAAATATAAGCTACCACGAACACAGACCTTTTTCTCCTAACTTTGCCAGAATCTGGTAATTCAATTACTCTTGATGTAAATTAGAAAAAAAAATCTGTTTTGTTTATGTAGTGCTATTTGGTCAGTTTTTAGTTATTTCATTGATAGTTATAGATTTTTGCTCACTGATACAGTATTTTGGTCAACTTTTGTTAGATTTGAACTGGATCTAGTAGTTGAAGCAGAATTCCCAGTTTTGGCCACAAGGAGCCAGACTAATAAGAGGAATGTTACTTCCTCCACTTCTTCTGATTTGCAACCCTAGCCTTCCGAAACTCCCACACAGTCATGCTTTGCATGATAGCTGATGGTATGTGTGTCTTATGCTGAGCTGCTGAGGAGACTTTTCACTCCCTGGAGGGGTTTCTGTCGGCTCAGAGGGTTAATGGCTTGTTAAGCTGTGCCCAGTTGGCTGTTGCATAATGAGAACATCTGGTTTTAGAGACCCCATGCCTCTCAAAGCATTTTCTTTGGCTTAGGAAAAAGTGCCAAAATGTTTGAAAGTATATTGTCCACTGTGAAGTATATTTCCAGAGAAAAACACTGGAATGCAAAAACAAAGGGTATCAGAGGAAAATCGTTAAACGCTGTTGCTCCAGAGGCGTTTTTTTCAAGTTCATACTTACAGATCAAATCTGCTGTAAAACCCTTGGTGCTGGTCTTGGACTTATTGTTTATTCAGATATACAACTAACACTGACAACAGCAAAGACAAGGAAGCATGATGATGATGATGTGTGTGTGTGTGTGTTCACACACCCTTATTAACAAATAACATGAATACACCAAGCACGTCTGATGCAAGGATGCCTCGAAGTCAGCTGTTTGCACAAAGCATCCACATGGCTGTTCTGTGTCAGTGGGTTTGTGGTGCAGCTCCAGCAGCTTGGTGTTGGGCCAAGGGCAGCAGAGGACCGTGTGGTTCACACCGGCAGCCCCCGCCTGAGGTTTATTTATCTGGGCATGGAACCTGGTACACAGGGAACCCAGCAGGATTCTGACCTTGTGTTAGAAGCTGCTGATATAACCCAGAATATTAGATTTCTTTGGCACATTAGTAGCTTTTCATGCAAAACGATTAACCTGACTTTGTACAGTTAGGACATGTATCTTCTGAGTGTGAAGGCATACTGCGTGATGCTATTAAGATAGGATAGTTTTAAAATTTTTGCAACTCGTTCCCCTTTTTCTGCAAAGTAAATTACGCAGCCGTAGAATTTCCTGCAGATTTTTATTCAGTTCGCACTCACCTATGTGTTCCCGACAATCTATTTTCAGTCACCCCTTTTATCTTTCTATACAAACAGGGACTCAGATGGATGTTTGGAGTTAAAATGAAAAATCAGCTGGACGCGTGAACCAGCCCATCAACAGGAAACAAGAAATGAGGCGAATGTGTCAATATTTACATGAGGAGTTTGAACGGTACACATGGCTGTTTAGTTTGATGGAGGCTTTCAAACGGTCCATGGTGGTGACAATCAAGGTGTGTTAAACCTGTGGTTTCTGTGGTCACTTGACAGAAATGATGAATGGAATTCTCCATATTTTCTGTTTGACAATAACTGAGGTGAAATTGTGGTCTTGATTGTTTGGATGCTGCCTGCAACCAGACAACTTGCAGTTTTGACCCTTGAATTTACAAATGCATATAAAGGAAAAGGAGGGGAGGGTTTTTGTTTACCAAGTGTTTAGACAGCGTATTTACTCTCCTAAATGCTTTATAACTAAGGAATGCAGATAACTTCCCGTTTCTGTCAATGAGCCATTTTCCTTCAAGCAAAACAGCTGCTCAATATGCAACCTCTCCTCATCTCTGTTTAAAAACAGCTGCACATCCAAACAAGTAAGTCCTCACTGGTGTGCAACAAAGAGAACCTGCATTGTTCTTCATGCTGTTTTATGAAGTAAAAAGTGAAAAAGGTGAGATGGGATATTTGTAATTGGATAAGGCTGTTTCAAGTTACTGGGAATGCAGTAAAATAGCATTTATCTCTTAAAACTGCACACATTTCATCACATATAATATTGAACTTTACTGAGAAACATTAAAGTCCAATTAAAACTGATTAGATAATTTTTGTTGTTGTTAGTGCAAAAGTTTCAAACATTTATTTTTTACTGTTCTGATACAAAAACCCTCTTGACACGACTCTTATAAGTAATAAGCCACTTCATGGAAAAGGGAACCAGTGCAGCGACATTAGAATAGGAGTGATGTGTGCTCTTCTGTTTGCTCCAGTTAGGTGCCTCGCTGCAGAGGTCTGGACTGATAAGATAAAATAGACATTTAATGAAATATTTTAAAATATTTTCTGAGGTTGGGCTGCAGAGATAACAGGTCTCATGAAGAAGATTACACCCAGTAATCCTTCCTACCCATACTCCTCAGTTCTCCCTGGTTGATACCAAGGTGTTAGAGAGGACCACTTGACCCTCCAGTGAGTTCTGGGTCTGTTGAGGGTTAGAACGTAAACAGATCAGTTAGCTGAGAGCTTCTTCTTTCAGCTAAGGTCCACCATAGACAGGAGCAAAGCTCATAAGCCCCGATCCTAAAATCTATCTGTCATTTCCACCGGACGACCACACTGTCTCTGCACAAATATCAAACTGTCTCTCTGACATATCAAAATGGATGAAATCCCACCATCTCCAACTCAACCTCTCTAAAACTGAACTACTTGTCATCCCAGCAAAACCATCCATACAGCACAATCTCTTAATCCAAAATGACTTCCTATCTCTGGCTCCTTCAAAGGCAGTTCGAAATCTGGGTGTTGTGATGGATGAACACCTGACCTTTAAAAATCATGTTGCCTCTGTTGCCCGTTCATGCCGCTTTGTGCTGTTTAACATATGAACGATCAGACCATACCTAACACAACATGCCACCCAGCTCCTGGTGCAATCTACTGTCATCTCCCGCCTCGATTACTGCAATGTCCTTCTAATTGGTCTTCCAGGCTGTACTGTGAGACCTCTTCAAATGGTCCAGAACGCAGCGGCGCGTCTGGTCTTCAATCAGCCAAATAGACCACACGTCACCCCTCTGTTCATTGAGCTCCACTGGCTACCGCTAGCAGCACGCATCAAATTCAAATTGCTAACACTAGCATACAAAGTCTGAGATGGTATGGCTCCCATCTACCTGAATCCCCTTGCAAAGGCTTACGTCTCGGCCCGGCCGCTCCGGTCATCACGGGATCGTCGGCTAGCAGTGCCTACACCACGCTCAGGACAATCCAGACTCTTCTCATACATCGTTCCACAAATGTGGAATGACCTTCCAAGCACTACCAGAACAGGGACTTCCTTTTCAATTTTCAAGAAACTCCTGAAGACCCTGCTCTTCAGAGAGCATTAGCTAAACTAGCACCCTCCCTGCACCCGTCCCCCCTCTCTATCGTCCACTACTTGTTCCCTCCTCGGTTCCTGAGCTATGTGTTCCTTGTGCTCTGCTTAGTTTTATTATTGTGTTTAGATTCTAATCTTGTTTTGATTTCCTGTTTTTGCTTTACTGTGCTGTTTACTGTGTTTCATCTGGTTCAGTCATTATTCTCCTCCTGTTGTCTCTGTGTCCATACTCCTGAGTTAACTAGTCACACCTGCCCATTGTTACAATCAGTATCATCACACCGGTTTTCCCTCGTCTCCTCTCACCTCCTCAGTTCTATTTAAACTCAGCTCAGTAGGCAGTTCCCTGTTGTTTATTTGTGTCATGTCAGTACTAGCTAAAACGGAGAACACACGCCTCGGTAGAACATGAACATTGGAACACATCTTGGTGGCTCCCGATGACGTATCTCCTAGGCAACCGGGGCAGGGCCAAGACATCAAGGCAAGGTTCCTTGGCATTGAAAAACACCCCTGGATACCGGCATTCCAGGACTAGAATTTGGCACCTATGTTCTACATTGACCCTGTAGGGGTGTGTGTGTGTGTGTGTGTGTGTGTGTGTGTGTGTGTGTGTGTGTGTGTGATCATGATCATGTGGCAGGTTAGCTTCCTGTCAAGATTCAACTCCACTTTCCACCTATTTACTACTGGATGAGGATTAAACACCAGCTTAATCCTCTTTTTGGCTCTGATTAGGATTAAGAAGAGAGAAAATGACAGGGCGAGTGAATGTGAGAAAAGGTGACTGGTTTTAAAGTATAAGTCTCAGTAGTCATCACACACACACACACTGATGTGTGGTGAAATTTGTATATGCATTTGGCCCATCCCCTGGGGAAGTGGTGAGCTGCAGACAACCGCTCGGGAACCATTCGGTGGTTTAGCCCCCCCAATCCAACCCCTTGAGTGTGAAGTGAGGACGCTTTGGGTCCCATTTTTAGGTCTTTGGTATGACCCATCCATGGATGTGAACCCATAATCTTCCAGTCTCAGGGCAAACACTCCTACCACTAGGTCACTGTGCAGGGATTTGGACCAGAAAAGGAAGTGGCTTTCACCTTTCAATAACCAGATCAGAGATTGTCTATTCTCAGACTTACATGATCATAACCCTCATGAATTTATATCATTTGATTACATAAACAAAATTAATAGAGATGCTGGTAGTTTGTGCTTCAGTAGGCATCATCATAAGCACATTTTACTGTTATACACACAAACACACACACATGCTTTTAGTCAGAGAAAAGAACTGCCTCAAGGTCAAATCCATTCCCGTTCCATTGTCATTGTTGGTAACCAGACAGCTCCAACTGCTGCTGACTTTAATTTAAAGTCATCTGGGCTGTTTGCAGATTAATTTGGGACATGTGTCTATATTTGTTGAGCATGTCTTAACCTCATGGCTCATATTTGAATGAGTTTCCTCTATCAAGGAAACAAGTCTCACTTGACTTACCCTGACCCAAGCCTCCCAGATGGAGGAGCAGCCCGTGAGTGGGGATGTTTAGCGTAACGCCAAGAGATGGAATAAACCCAGCAGAGTGTGGACAAGAGCCACAGAGATAAAAGCTGTGGGGATGTTTCTGGAAGCTGAGAGCAGAAAAGCTTCTGCTGCACTGTGAGAAAACTCTTTTAGTTCAAACTTACACTCCCACAAAATAAACCTCGGTAGTTCCATGAACAACAAATGCCTTTCAGCTCCTCTCCTGTTCTCTTTTTGGGGCTATGAAAACTGAAATGCAATGCAGAATACTTTGGGATTTAGTCATTTGTAGAGTTACTCTTTAAATGACAGCATCTGAAGCATCAGCCTACATCATAGGTCAGGAGGTTTTTATGAGATCAGGATGTGTTGATGACCATAACTTTCTCAGACAATGATCCTGCCTGCTCATTGTTAGGAAAGCATAATATCCAACTTGGTGACATTCAGCTTCTCTGGTGGGTGTTATAATTTAAAGCAGATGTCTTTGAAAGTGAGAGAAATTCAAGTACAGAACTGGGAAAATAGATTTGCTTTGATCTCGTCCCATAGCTAAAGTCACCTTTTCCAGCCAAAGGTCACATTTCATCGTCATTAGCTACTGCATCAAAACAGACCTCTGCACTGAGTCTGTTTATTTTCATAATATTAGAAACCAAAGACCTGATGCTATATTTTAAAAACCCTTTCAATGGTCAGCAATGGAAGCAAAAACACTCGTGATCATGTAGGTGATCCCATTGATATCTTTAAATGTTTTTGCACATTCTTGATGGGATGCATGCCAGTCAGATGAAGCAATGAGGGACTTCCTGCTGCACCTCAGATCATCGATGGCGTACTGTGTCTCCTGATTTCAAATCTTATTTTCTGTTAAGGGTTCCATGACTGCTTCAACATTGACACGAAGAGAGCTCGAATCATCAAAGGCCCTAAACAAGCCCAGTTTGGATACACTGTTCAGCAACATGTGGCTGCTGGAGGAGAAAAATGGTGAGAGATTCTTTACTTTACTGCATGAAGTTTTATTCATAAAGTATTACTTTAAATGCTTATTACTTTGCTTATGTGCAGCGCTTTGGGGCAACAGCGGTTGCCATTTAAAATGTTGACTTGACATTTCACACTGTTGTCTTGCTGAAGTCTCATATTACCTTAAGTGGTTTGGCACATGTGATATTTAAAAAACAATTTCTGAGCTTTTTTTTTTTTTACCACACACAAGCACCTGTCTTTTGAATGAGCACAGTTGATTTGGTCATGGTCTGGGGAATACGACCAACCCAAGACATGCAGAATCACAACTCACGGATTGATGGTAAAAAATATTTATTTAATAACGAGAACTGAAGGAGCACTGGTAAGTCCAGTGGGGATCGAGAAACGGGAGCGCAGCATCTGAGAAGGGGAGAGCAGATACAGGTGAGTCCACGGAGGTAAGTCTTAACTTGGTGGGTGCAGAGAAAAGACTTACTGGGAGATGGAGAAGTATCGGGATGAGGGAGGGCAGGTTGAGAGCCGGGGTGTATGCAAGAAAGGGGTCCAGGAGAGGGAGTGAGGGGAGGGCAGGTGAGCGGGTCGGTTAGGAGGAATGGAGAACGGTTGAGAGCTGTGTCCAGAAATCCTGTGAAGCATGGGTGAGTAAACCTGAGGAGTCGCTGAATCAGAGACGTCTAAAAACCTGGAGACGGGTAATCACAAAATCCAAAGTTCACAATAATCCAAGAAACTCGAGAGCACAAAAACCAAGTATCACTAGGAGGCTCGAAACTACCAAGCTGTAGAAATCATCCAGCGTCGAGATGTGTTCTCCTTTCTCCTTATGTAGCCGGGCCCGCTGATTGCCAAGGCGATGCAGCTGGGAACCTCCCTCTCCTGCAACACACAGCTCAGAGGTGGAAGATTGAGAGGAGTACTCACCCCGGCTCATGACAACTGTCACAGCTTTGAGTTAGCGCCATGCTGTAGGAGTCATGACAAGAACTCTGTTCCAATAAAGCAGATGCTGACAAGCTGTAGCGCTGATTTGTGGTTGACTTGGCAGAGAAACAGTTGGATGTCTCAGTTTTTTCCCTGGAAGGACTGCAATCTACTGTACCTCTCCTGGGATGAGCTAAGCTTCCTCCCATTAACCTGACCTCCCAAAATGTACTCCCGAACCCAATACCACCCGTCCATCATTCGTGATGCTGATTTTAATACACCTTACCATTTGGGCCAACTGGCTCCATGTGGTTGTCAAAATTAGATCCCGTCATCCCCAAAATGTCTGTTGGCAAGCATGGTGCTGGCACAGTGTCAGTGTTTAGATCGTCCTTTCAATCCTAGACTGGAAATTCTTTGGTTTAACTGTTTGAAACTGGCGTCTTATTATGTTTACTGACAGACAAACAATGCAGTTTTACAAATAATTCCAAAAATAACTAAATATATTGTTTCTGACACTATTTTTACACCAAGGAATATAGTTTACATTCTGTATTGTTCAAAATGTTCGACTCTTTCTTTGTCCACACACGTAACACTAACTCACCAAGTACTTTTGATACCTTAAAATGTATCAAGTTATTTATTTATATTTTTGGAGGATAAAAGCCTCTTGAGATGTAATGTCTTGTTTTTCGAGAGGGTCCTCCGTCCTTACAGCACAAACGTAGAAAGATAACGAGTCAGCAGCTGAAAAAATTACCAAAAACAAAATACTAAAATATAAATTAAATAACTCCGGGAAAAATGAAACAAAATTACCTGAAAATATGCAAAGAAAACAAAACATATCCTAACCAAAATACATTTATTTTGCATAAAGAGTTTTTACTATTTCTCTTAAGAATGTTAAGTTAATTACGTCTAAAACACCCACACCAGCGTAGCTTGGCTTGCTTTCACTTCCTAATAGTTTACAGTGTTCCTCTTGGCGAGTCACCCATCCTCCTTGACCCCCAGGCTGACTGAGGGATGAGGCCGGTGTGTGAATGAGCGTGTGAAAACAGAAGGAAAGAGTATAAAAAAACAAATTTAGAATACTATCGCTGCAACTGAAACATTATAATCTGCTGGCTTCTGCATCTTAAAACCAAGATGGGTGAGAGGTAGAATGTGATAAAGAGCTTTATAATACAGCAGACTGGAATATTATTTTATGGCTGTTTTAAGATGTGTGAATACTATTATCAGAATTGGCACAGATTGACATCTAAAGGGTTAAAACTCAGTTTGAGACGTGGAATAATAAAGACGCACAGTGTCTTAAAGTGAAAAATGAGGAAAAAGCTGCGAGCTGGGTTTGAGACGCTCTCCGTTTCACTGTGAAATCCAAGACTCAGCAAACTGAGTACCAGAGGTAAAAACGAACTCCTGATGAGGCTGACGTATGTGGAATGAAGGTCACCAGAGACGCAGCCTCAGCTGAGGTAAATGTCTGAGAATGAGCTGGAAACATTTTTACTGGAGGAATAGATCTGTTCAGGATGTGCTAACAGCTTAGAGTGAGTCAAAGTAGAGGAACTGGACTGTTAACACCATCGTTCGTTGTTTATGCACCTAAATAAATGTGTCTGTTTATGAGGTCGAAATAAGAAATAATGTATTTGAAAATCTGCAGGATTCTGCACTTGTTTGCAAGTTATTGGATAATAAAGCAGTTAAGTTGGGTGCTGATCCTATTACAGGTAACTGTGTCCCTATTTTACCCTGCGGGCAAGCCTCAAATGTCTACAGGCTTGGGTTTAAGTCCCTCGGTGAAGTTTGGGTTTAAAAAGAGGTTATTTAGACAAAGCAGCAACAGCAGCCTTACTTAACTACTGTAATACGTTCTATTTGTCTTCATGCCTGTGCTCTTTAGAATAGAATAGAATAGAATAGAATAGAACAGAATAGAATAGAATAGAATAGAATAGAATAGACTTTATTGATCCCACAGTGGGGAAATTCACTTATTACAACATCACAAACACTTAAGAGGAGAATTTGAAGAAAAACAAAGGTACATGTATGTGCAGCTCTCACAGTGAAATATCATTTTCAGACTAATGGAGAATATTTTGAAAATAATCAACAAGAAGTTTGGTATATAGGTAGATTTGCTAAATAAATGTAGCTTTTTAGGTGGTATAGCCAAACAAAGATCGGTGAATATTGAGCAAAAGTGCATTTAGTTGTCCTTCAAAGTCCTACATTTATGGATTCAAATTTGCATAATTTGTGCAACTGTGCTACCGTAGATCATTCATCCCCTCTACAGCAAGAGTGTATAACTCCTCAGTTTAACTGGTACTGGTATTCTCCTGTTACACAATAACACCAATGCATTATTCTGTATGTGTTCAATTATTGTGCAATATCTGGTGTACATTAGTATGTCTGTGTCCCTAAGCTGCATAGTTCTGGAAACCCAAGTTTTCTTTTCATTTGTTGTTTTTAGTGGTTAAAGGTTACAATTATGGCTTAGTGTGTATGCTGCTGTAATGAGTGCATCCCCCCCCATTGTGGGATTAATACAATCTATTATTTGGGGCGGCAGTGGCTCATGAATCAGAAGTTTGCCCTGTAATCAATGAGTTGCTGGTTCAAACCCAGACTCCCAGTCATGCCAGTCGTTGTGTCCTTGAGCAAGACACTTCATCCATCTTTCCTTCTGGTGGTGGTTGGAGGGGTGGTGCCTGTCCTCGACAGCCTCGCTTCTGTCAGTGCACCCAGGGCAGCTGTAGCTATGATGTAGCTCATCACCACTAGTGTGTTAATGTGTGTGTGAATGGATGAATGATACACTGTAGTGTAAAGTGCTTTAGAGTCCTCTGACTCTGAAAGGCGCTATACAAGTATGGGTCATTAATCATTTTATCATTTATTAGCTCCAGTGTCTCAGCATCAGCATTCATCTAAATACTCATTATCACACAAATGCATCTCAGTGCCCTGAAGAAAAGAAAGCTCATCCACCCTTTGATGTGGAAAGGCAACGTCCCAGGGAGCTTTGGGTGTAAAAGTAAAAGTAAAATAAAAAGTTTGTTTCCTCTGATCACAAGTACTTTTTGGGTGATGCTGTTTGTATCTGTTGTTTATGTTTGTTTTTTGTTTATTCTGTGTCAGTTCAGACAATTGACATCCATCCATTTTTGGCTGCTTATCCTGGGTTGGGTCATGGGGGCAGAAGCCTAAGCAGGGAGGCCCAGACTTCCCTCTCCCCAGCCACTTGGGCCAGCTCCTTTGGGGGAGTCCCAAGGCATTCCCTGGCCAGCCGTGAGACATAGTCCCTCCAGCGTGTCCTGGGTCTTCCTTTAGGCCTTCTCCCAGTTGGACATGCCAGGAAAACCGCACAAGAGAGGCGTCTAGGAGGCACCCTAGCCACTTCAACTGGCTCTTCTCGATGTGGAGGAGCAGCGGGTCTACTCCGAGCCCCTCCCGGATGACCGAGCTTCTCACCCTATCTGTAAGGGAGAGCCCAGCCACTCTGCAGAGAAAACTCATTTCCGCTCGTGCCCATGATCTCATTCTTTCGGTCACTACCCAAAGCTCAGGACCATAGGTGAGGGTAGGAACTTAGATCGACCAGTAAATCGAGAGCTTTGCCTTCTGACTCAGCTCTCTCTTCACCATGACAGACCGGTAGAACGCCCGTATCACTGCCGATGCAGCACCAACCCGCCTGTCTATCTCACACTCCAGCTTTCCCTCACTCGTGAATAAGACCCCGAGACACTTTTACTCCCCCACTTGAAGCAGGACCTCATCCCTGACCTGGAGAAGGCATTCTACCCTTTTCCAACTCAAGACCATGGTCTCGGATCATTTGTGCTGATTAGGATGGAATCTGTGAAAGAATCTTGCTTGTTTTTCAGACAGGAAAACTATAAGTTAAAGTGCAATAACTGTGTTGGAGCTTCTCTGCTTTAGCTGCTGACTGTGTTTTGTTTCATTAACTAACATATTTTTAATACACTCACTTTTATTTACTATGAACTCATTCACTGCCAGCCATTTCCTGATCAGAA